GGAAGCAAAAAGAAGACATGAAGGGCATCCAGACACCTAACCACCCCTGGCCCGTGAGCCAGGAAAATAATTCATTTGTTCTCTGCCGGGCTTATTCCGCACACCTGCGTGCCAAGGCCTTGCTCACACCCCCTCCGGCCCGGGTGACCACTCCTGGACTGTCTTCTCCTCTGTAAAATGTGAGGATTGGGCCAGGCAGAGATCCACCGTTTTGCTATGAAGCCTGAAAGAAGCCAGGGACTTGGTCCAGTCCCACCGCCGGTCACCTCTCCCACGTCCCCCACCGCTCCTCACAGCCCTCCTTCCTCCAGCCCAGCCCGATAACGTCTCAGCATCACATGGTCTCCCCACCGCCAAGCCTTTGCTCATGCTGTCCCCTCGCCTGGCACTCCCTTTCCTCCCCAACATACCCGAGCGAAGTCCTGCTCAGAGTTGGCTCTCGGGCCTCCTTTCCTGGAGCCCCTCCCTCCGCCAGGGGCTGGGTGAAGACCCCTCCTCGCACCCCAGCACCAGCGCTGTCACCCATCAGAGTCACAGTCACAGCGTTTCCGGGACGGATTCGAACCCCTGGCGGGCAGAGGCCAGGAAGGAGCCAGGCCTGGGCCCTGGCCCGGGGCCGAGCGTGAGAAATGAAGACATGTATCTGTACTCACTAGAGACTCTTGACATAACAGAGGCTGCTTTGCTTTATTTTTTTTTCCCCCAATTTAAAAAGCAGTACACTTGAGCGACCAAATAAACAAAGTAGCATTGGATTAGAAGCCAAAGTATAAAATAAATATGCCGGAGGCCCGGCTGATAAAAACATAAATCAGCCCCTTATTTATGTACTAAATGAGAACTAACAAATGTCCCATGAGGAATTTAAAATAATTTATGTAGCCCTAACCGGTTTGGCTCAGTGGACAGAGCGTCAGACCGTGGACTGAAAGGTCCCAGGTTCGATTCCGGTCAAGGGTGTGTACCTAGGTTGCCTGTATATCCACAGTAGGAGGTGTGCAAGAGGCAGCTGACTGATGTTTCTCTCTCATCAATGCTTCTAACGCTCTCTCCCTCTCCCTTCCTCCCTGTAAAAAAAATCAATAAAATATTTTTTAAAAAAATAAAATGAAATTTATATAGCGACACTGCCCTCAAGAAGGGAGCACACCTCCCCCTTCCTTACGTGTGGGCTGTGCACAGTGACTTCCTTCCCACGAGAGTGGGGTGGGGGAGGGGGCGGTACAGTCACGGTGGAAAAGGCTGTTGACAGCACTCAGCCAGGGGATCAAAGTCAACAGTGATGTGATGTGATGATGAGCTGAGAACAGCTTTGCCTCTGCCGTCTTCCTCCCAAAAGCACGTCCCTCCAGTCCAGCCACGGGGAAGCTGTCAGGCAAGCCCCTCTGAGGGATATCCGACACAGTGCCTCCCCGGTACCCTCACCACTTAAGGCCATCGCCAATGAGGAAAACCTGAGAAACCGCCTCAGCCGAGAGGAACCGAAGGCCTCAAGGTGACAAGGGAGCCTGGAGGAGCTTCCGGGACAGGAAAGGGGCATCATCGGGGACAGCGGAGGGATCGGAACGAAGGACGGACTTCAGTTAATAACGGGACGGCACCAGCTCAGCAACTGTGACCACTGTGCCTTCTTAATGTGAGATGTTGGCAACGAGGGAAGCCTGGTGTGGAGTAGACACAAACTCTGTGTTCTGTTCAACACTGCTCTGCAAACCCAAACCATTCCAAATCAAGAGGTCCTTTTTAAAAGCAGTCATGCCCACGGTACTAGATGGAGGACAGAGAAAAGCAGAGAACAACCTGAGCTCACAATCCTATCACCCAGAGATGACTAGGGCCAGGGCCTTCCCTCTTCACAGTATCCTGCTGCTCCAGGGTTGGAATCACAGCAGGTGTGAGCTCTCCCCGAGGCAATGCACTTCCAATGGAATTCAAGGTCAGGCAGGGAAATACCTCTGGGCACAAGGATCTTCTAGGGCTCCCCCCACCCCCTTACTACCACTGACTTAGGGCACACATAGGATTGCCAGACAAGCCAGGACCCACGTGGCCACTGTAAGAAAGTCCTCTCCCTCCCCTACCTGCGCAAGTCTGGGTTAGAAATCACCTGTGTCCCAGCGAATCTTCTACCCAAGCCCAGCAAAACCCTGCGGAAGCGCCTCCAGCCATCGGACACCAGAGGGTCCCTCCAGGAATAACGCTCCCTGTGACTCCATAGCGTGTAACGCCGACCCGAGGCACCAAGGGCCCGATTTAACCCTCCCCAGAGGCCCGAGTCCACGAATAGCTCTCAATACGCTAGCGGTGGTCACCCTCGGCTGGCTCCAGATGAAGGCGAACTCGGTGGTTGACACATCGGGGCGGTGACTTCTCCTTTTCCATCCAGATGTTCAAGGTCCTGACAGCACATCTGCCACCGGCTGCTGGGCCACAGGAGAAGCCCCAGTCCCAGTCACAGAGGGGGCAGGAGGAGGACCCCTCCCCTCCTCCCTATTCCCCTCCCCTCCTCCCCCCACTGGAATCAACTAAGGGCCGCAGCCCAGAGGTATCTGCTGGAGCCTGACAGACAGTTTCCAGGCTTCTACTCACACCTCCCATCCAGAGCATCCCATGGCTCCCGTGTCTCACACCGTAAAGTGTTTCTCCACGGAGAGGACGACGGCAACGTGTGGAAATGTTTTTGGCTAACAGCCGGGGGGTGCTATCGGCACCCTGTGGGCCGTGGCCATGGATACCGCCAAACATCTCACAACAGACAGCTCAGGCCCCACAACCACGGGTTCGTTCTCCAGCCCCAAACATCAGCAGAGAAAGTCCCGGCTCTTTCTCTTGTCACTCCCGGCCCCTCCCGCCTCCTGCTCGCCAGCCGGAAGCTTCGAGGCGGGTCTGTGTAGTGTGTCTCCTGCACAAGCCTCTGTCCTTCGGGGCCTCCACGCCTCGGCACACCCCTTCTGCCCCACCCACACCCCCCACAATGGGACTCTATGCCTCTGCCCAGGACACCACCTGCAAGAGCTCTCCCTTGATTGTTTGCCCGCAGATGGTCCTGCTCTGAGGGCAGGCACTGATATGACTTAATGTCATGAGTGTCCTGCACGGACGCCGTGCACAGGTGAGGACCTCAGGAGAAACCTTCCGATCACAGAGGCCAGAGCTTGTAGGGCAGCCTCCCGCCCACGCGGCCGGCAGGTGGCTTCGGCTCGGCCTGCACAAGGGTTTGTTATTGTTTTTTACCTCAAAGCAGTCACCAACTGGAAACATCAGAAGATAAGACATCAAAGCCCGTGTTCCCTGCTTCTCTAAACACCAGGAGAGCCCACATTCCTTCCTGGCAACAATCGGCGGAAACAGAGAGCAGCTGCCAGAGAGGCCGGACAGGCCCCAGGCCCCCCGCAGGTCCAGCTGCCCCCCACACTCACTCCCATGACTGTCTGCCCGCCCCCGCCCCCCTCCACCAGGTGCTGGAGTTTGAGACCTCAGAGCCGGTCCACACCCCCTACACCCCCTTCCTTTTACAAAGGGAGGCTGAGGCCCAGGAGCGAGGCTTGTCCAAATCGGATGGCTGGCTAGTGGCAGAGTAGGGGGGGGGGGGGTAAGGGTCCGAGGGGCCTCCTCTGCGGAACCCCCCTGATCTGCCGAGAACGTTGGCAACCTCCGAGCTGAACGGGCCACAGGACTTGGTGTGGGGACAGCCACGCCACCAGCCTTCTTCTCTCAGTATCGCCTTGCGTTGGCAGAGGCCAGGCAGGGCGACCTCAGAGCGCCACCCCAAGCCAGCGTCTGGGGGCTGCGGGGTGACTGCATGTGACCGATACCCTGCTCGCTAAGAGGCTCTGCCTGCGTCAGGCACTGCCCTGGGGGTAACACTTGTGCCCCTCACAAGCGGCCCCCCAGAGGCTGCTGTGTGGCCCTTCCTTGGAGCAGGAAGCTGACATTTCGCAGGGTTAAGCAAGTAGCCAAGGCTGCATAGCTAGGGAGTGGGGAGGTAGGGGTGGGGCAGGACTTGCACCCAGGGCCCCGGATCCAGAGGCCCTGTGCCCTGAAGAGCATCCTCACCCCTCGCAGGCTGGGCTCCCTCGCCCGGCCCGCCGGCCTCCACAGGAAGCGGAGGCAGCTGCGGGGTGGGCTGGTTTTGAGGAAGCCCTTCCAGGCTCCTGTGAGAACTGCTCCCCACAGGCCATGAGTCACCCTGGGGGAAGGTGCCTGGGCCCGGGGAGGGGGGGTGGGGGCCGGGCATGGCTTGGAGTTGTGGGGAGGGGGATGGGGAGCCCCAGACCTCAGCCACTAAGATGGGGGACCACTGGCCCCGAGGGCTGTGACTCTCTCAGAGTCAAGGCTTCACACCAGGCAGGTGCACACCAGCCCCCCAAAGTGGAACCGCTGGGCCTGCTCCCCACTCGGGATGAACCCCCCCCCCCACCAAGAAACAGAGCCAGGCAGGCCCCCTATCCATTAGCACAAAGCCTCAAGGCTTCCTGAGGAGAAGGCTGTAAACTCGAGGACTCCTTCCTTCCTCCATGAGGAGACAGAGAGAGAGAGATTCCTGGGGGGTGGGGGAGCCGGGAGGGCGGAGAGAGAGGAGCCATGCCTGTGCCTGGCCCACCTCCTGGCAGCAGTCCCAGCCCCCGCTTCTCCCAAGAGTCCTGGCTCCCAGATCACTTTCCCTTCTGGGGTTCTGTTGGCATCCGGTTGACCTTGGGGCTGCTCTCTTGTCCCATTTTACAGAAGAACAAACTGAGCTTCTGAGAGAGCGTGAGCTATGTTACCTTGCTACCAGGACCCCTCCTTCCACCACTGTTCGGCTCAGGCGGCTGCTACAGGGTCCCCTCCCCTGCCGCCAGGGGACAGGGAGGGAGGTGACACCCAAGCAGGAGCCCACAGAAAGGTGGGGAGCAGCGGCCACCCGGCGGCTGCCCAGCTGGAGGGGCTCAGGAGACCAGGGGTCCCCCCTCTCACTCACACACACCCTCCCCCGGGCCCCCGGGCCCGCCCGCACTCACCACATGGTAGATGGCCAGGGCGGTGGTGGCGATGCGGACGTTGAAGCAGCAGCAGGTCTGGCGGACCGCCGTGCCGGGGGCCATGGTGCCGCTGTCCCCTCCTCGGAGGCTCTGAGGGGGAAGAAGCCCAGCTCCCGGAGCAGGACAGAAAAGGGGAAGCTGCCACTGCCCTCCTCACTTCCTTCCTGCCCCTCAGACAGGCAGGGGCAAGGCCGTCACAATGGGGCGGGGCCGCTGGGGGGGCCCCCGCCCGCCTGGGAGGCGGCTGGCCCCTGCCCTCCCGAAGGGGGCTTCCCGGGAAGGCAGGCCCTGCGCCGTCAGCACCTGCCTGCCTTGTGGAAGCGTCTTCACCCGTCCCCCCGCAGGCTGGATGCTCACCTCCGCCTTAGAAGCAGGCACTGTCACCAAGCCCGTTTCCAGAGAGAGAAACAGAGGCCCAAAGGCATCAAGGCATTCACCTAAAATCACCCAGCAGTCCGTGCTGGTGGCAGAATCCACAGCCAGGGCTGGAAGACTGGGACAACAACTATTATCTACTCATTCCTGCCCGCTCTAAGCATGGGCCCGGATTAACCCTTTCACCCTCACCTCGACTCTTTGAAGGAGGTATTCTTTTCTTTTCTTTTTTAATATATTTTATTGATTTTTTTACAGAGAGGAAGAGAGAGGGATAGAGAGCTAGAAACATCAATGAGAGAGAGACATCGATCAGCTGCCTCCTGCACACCCCCCACCGGGGATGTGCCCGCCACCAAGGTACATGCCCTTTGACGGGAATGGAACCTGGGACCCTTCAGTTCCCAAGCCGACGCTCTATCCACTGAGCCAAACTGGTTTAGGCAGGAGGTATTCTTATTGTCCCTGTTTTACAGGTGAAGAACCTGGGGCTCAGAGGTGGGAAGGGATTTGTCCAAAGTCACACAGGAGCCCGGGGCGGAATGGGGACTTGGACCGGAGCTCCCTGTTCCAGAGGCTGCCCCTCCAGCTGCCCTGCACCCTCAGAGATAGGCATGTTCACAGGCCAGCAGTGGGTGTCAGCTGTTTCATGTGGTCCACGGATGACAGATTCGTTTAAGTGTGCATCTTAAAAATATACATACCCCGTTGGTGAATTCCGTGATTTTCCATGTATGGGAGTAATATAAGGTCTCATTTTAAAATAGATACATTTAAGTTTAAAAAAAAAAAAAAAAAAAAAGCAATACATTGGTTTAAAGAAAAATATCACAGCCACTGTAGGCCAGGAGGCAGGCAGGTGCGGCAAGCAGCCATGGAGGTGGAGTGGGCACCACGGGTGTAGGGATCCTGGTGGGTGAGAAATCTCACAGTCGCTGTGTGATGTCACACAAGATGCTTGAGGTCTCTGAGCTGTTGTTTCCACATCTGCAAACCAGAGGCAGAAGCTCCACCTCAGTGGCAGTGAAATGAGGTCATGTGCAAACCCAGCTTGTTTGTTTCCTCCCTTCCTGGCCCACCCGGCTCCCCTTCCCGCCCTCCCACCAACCCCCCTCAGGCTGCGGGAGGTAGAGCTGGGCCTGATGCAGTCCAGGCCACGCCTCCAGGAGGGGCCAGTGGCCACGAGGACAGCCTCTTCCTGAGCAATGGCGTCTCCCAGGCCGGCTCCCTCCCAGAAGCATGCCTCTGATAGATCACGTGTTCCCTGCTGGGTCCCCAGCGTCCGGAACAACTGGTCCCTTGATGGAGACCTCCATCGCTTTCTAAGGACGGAATCCCAGTCCTCTTTATCCACCTCCTCCAAACCTCCTGAGAGAGGAATCGCTGTTATCCCAGAGGCCATGCCCTTGACCAAGCCCAGTGTGGTGGGCAGAATACAGAACCCCCCACCCCCACATACCCACATCTAAATGGCTGGATCCTGTGAACATATGTTGCCTTACTTGGCAAAAGGACTTTGCAGCTGTGATTAAATAAAGGATCTTGAGATGGGGGGATTATCTTGGAATATCCAGGTGGGCCCAAGGTAGTCAAAAGGGTCCCTGTTCGTGTAAGAGGGAATATCAGAGTCAGATGGAGATCTGCTGGCCCTGAAGAGGGAGAAAGGGGCCCGCAGCCCAGGAACACAGGCCGCTTGAGGAAGCTGGGAAAGGAAGGAAGGTGTGTCCCTGTCCGAAGGACTGCGGCCTTGCTGACACCTTGGTTTTAGCCCAGTGAGTCCCACTGTGGGTTTCTGGCCTCCAGAACTATCAGATGATACATTTGTGTTTTTCTAGCCGCTGATTTGTGGCTAGTATGTTACAGCAGCAACGGCAAACTCATACATCTCCTCTGCAGAGTCCATAGTGGAACCCAGGTCCCTCTGACACTGGAGCCCAAGCCCACCCCACAGAAGCCACAGTCCTCATCCCCACCCCCATCCTGAGAAGCACAGCCCTTGACGTCCTCACTGTGTGACCTTGTACGATTTGAGGACTTCTCTGAGCCTCAGCTTCCTCCTCGGTAGGGTGGGGATAAAACCAACTCATCGTCTGTGAGTATTCAATAAGAAAATGCCCTTGCAGGGGGGGAAGGGGGCAGCACCATGGATGCCCCTTACTCCTAGTCTGCCTTCTTCTGTCACAAATGACACGTCATGAACTCCCGTGGACCATTTTTTAAACTCTCTTTCTTAAGTGGTGGACCCTTGGAAACGTCAGTCCTCAGGATAATTGGGAGGAAATGTTCCCCAGCTCCAAGGTCACAGCCAGACGGAGCGGGACTGCTTAGCAGGCTGCCCTCCCAACGGTTGCTTCTGACCAAGGAGGCTTTCAGACCCCACGGACTTCAGGAGGGATGTGCACACCCAACAACAGCATCTTCAATCGAGACGGCCCATCCTGCGGCTGTGTGTCTCGTTGGGTGATTTGCCGCTGTGGCGCACGCACCTGTCCGCAGACAGCTCTGTGCCTCAAAGGAAGTGACAAGCTTTCTTTGTCAAGCCAGAGCATGCCTGGAACTTCCCTCTTCACCCACATGCCTGGAGGTAAAAATAAACGCACCACTCGGCCAAGTTTCAGGTTTAAACAAAAGAGCTGGACAGCCCTGTGTCCTTCCCCGGAGCAGGGTCTGGCTCTGAGTCGGGCCGCAGCGGCAGGATGGTGTGATTCTGACCGCTGCTGCGATCGTTTCTGTCCTCAGCTCAGCCCTGTCCCAGCTCCCAGCTCAGCGGGGCCTCCACTGCCCCTGCCCAGACCAGAAGGCAGTCCCCGAGGTGCTGAGCTGTGCCTGGCAGGGCCAGGAGGGCAGCGACCGGCCACTGGGCGGGCACATGGCTGGTCAGCAGCAGCAGGAGACCTCAGGTCCTGCTCAGGGACAGTTGCTGGGGAGGCATGTGAGTGGGGTCGCCCCGGGCAGCTCCAGGCCTCTCCCCTCTGGAGCTGCTGGGGCCTCTGCACCTTGCTCAGGCCGAAGGTCCAGCTTCCCGCCAGACCACTGGCATTCCCGGGCATTCCCTCCTGCCACCCTCCCCGCCTCACTCCCATCTTTGACGTTTGGAGCTGCGGCCTGGGAACTGGAGAATCCCACCGCACGCCCTGCCCTTATCCTGCCCCTAACCTCACGTGCCCACCACCAGGGTCTGGGGCCTGGCATGAAACCTCAGGATCCCGCCCCTCTTCTCCCGTTCCTCCAAGGGTCAGCCTGGCAAGAATGGCCCACGGGCCTGGGCTTGGGGACAGCAGGCCCTCCATTAACCAGCCAGCCAGCCAGATAGACAGGGCCCCCGAGGCTGTCTCTCGGTCAACCCATCAAGGAGGGGGGGGGCTGCACCGGGCCACATCATGCCATCTACTGGGCTGTCCGTGCTGTCGTGGCTCTAAAGGCAGAAGCTGCTGGCCAGCATGTCTCAGCCGTTGAACGTCAACCCATAAACCAAGAGGTCATGGTTCAATTCTGGGTCCGGGCACATGCCCGGGTTGAGGGCTTGATTCCCAGTGTGGGGCGTGCCAGAGGCAGCCGATCCATGATTCTCTCTCATCATCGATGTTTCTCTCTCTCCCTCTCCCTTCCTCTCTGAAGTCAATAAAAATGTTTTTTTTTTTTTTAAAAAGAAAGATAAATACATAAAGGCAGAGGCCCCTGGGCAGGAGGCCACGGAGGGACGGCACCTGTTAGGACGGGCACTGTCTGTGGGGAGCAGAGCGCTGACCCTGGAGCCGGGCACACCCCTCCGCTCCAGCTGCAGCCCGCCCGGCCTCTGCCCGGCTCTGGCGCTCCGGAGCGAGCATCACTACGCTGGCCCAGGCTGCTGCGAGGACCAGAAGGCCAGCGCCTCCCTGCTGCCAGCTGCCAACCCTCCTCGGAAAGAACCTGAGATCCAGGTCCCGCGGCGGCACACCTGCTGTGGGCACTGCGGTGGGATGACCTCATTGGGGCATTTCCCCTGGAGCAGGGGTTTTTACTGAGCCAACTAACACAACAACCACCGAACAACACGCGTGAGAGGCCTGCCGAGGGCCCTGGCCCTGAGAGAGGTTTTTAAAAAAAAGTAAGAAAGCAACGCACCACGGCTGACTATTCAGGGACTTCTAGGAAATCTAACCTACGGTGACCCTGACTGACAATGGACAGATCAGCGGTGCCCGCTCCACCCTTTGTCCTACCTCCCCTCTTCCTGCCGGGATTGCAGGCACAGTGCCCAGTGAGGCGGCAGCCCCTGGGGAAGCATGAGGACAAAAGCCACAGCCTCGAGGTCCAGGGCGGAGAGAGACAGACAGAGTGGGGGCGCTGGTGGCCTCGTGCAGCCTCTGCTTCCGCTCTGAGCCCCCCCTCCTCGGGACATGTGCGAGGTGAGAAAAGGAATCCGACCTAGGCTCCTGACTTCATCCATCCATTCAGCAAGAGGACCGGTCAGCCACGAGGGACACGGCAGAGGGCAAGATGGACAGGGCCCTGCCAAAACCGATTTGGCTCAGTGGATAGAGCGTCAGTCTGCGGACTAAAAGGTCCCAGGTTCGATTCTGATCAAGGGCTTGTACCTTGGTTGCGGGCATATCTGCAGCTGGTCGATGTTTCTCTCTCATCAGTGTTTCTAGCTCTCTATTCCTCTCCTTTCCTCTCGGTGGAAAATCAATTAAAATATATTGTAG